TATATCTTCTTCCCATTTCAGGACTTCAACGGCCAAATGAACGCTCCTCACGAAGAAGAAAATGCGCCTCACAGAAGGACATATGTAAACTTCAAAACGACCAATGTATCTCAAAATTTCAAGACGTCCATTTTGAGCCTTTTCTACGTTACCGATGGCTGGATTAGTCAGGCATCGTGTACCCCTGGCCAGATTTTAGTGGTGTGCGTCGGTTAAGATGGTTCAGCTGTCTGGTACTATCGACGTAGGCTCAACGTGGCTAGTTATTTAGGCATCGCGTACCCCTGGCCGCATGTTAGTGGTGTGCGTCGGTTAAGATCGTTCAGCTGTCTGATATTATCGACGTAGGCTCAATGTGGCTAGTTAGTTAAGCATCGTGTACCCCTGGCCGCATGTTATTGGTGTGCGTCGGTTAAGATTGTTCAGCTGTCCGGTATTATCGACGTAGGCTCAATGTGGCTAGTTAGTTAAGCATCGTGTACCCCTGGCTGCATGTTATTGGTGAGCGTCAGTTAAGATCGATAAACCTCGAGGTCTTTCTAGCATAATTCGCAACCTATAATCAAAAACTCTGTAATTTGTCAGCCAACGTGGACGATGTTTATCAGATAATTAGTGTGCACTACGGAATTTTTACTGGCAACAAAGAATCATCGATCAAAATTCGTTTCCACGAATGCGCCTACTCATATGTTGCATCTCCAAAGACCATTTAGATTCTAGAATGTTGAGGAAATCTGTTCCGATGGAAAAATACGTGAAAGTTACCTTCATTGTATGTGAGTCAACCTTTCCCACAATTCACGATTTTTTATCATCAGGCAACGTATTCACAGTCGGCGGTGTTTATTGACATGGAGATTTCATTCACTTAAAAAAAATCGCCATAGTGATGGATTTTCAATAATACAGGAGCATATACATTATACATAGACATTCTACACTATGAAGTAGCAAGTCTGAAAATGCCGTAGGTTTCGAGAAATCAATCTCATTGTGCGAATAGCCAGCGGCAGAATGTTGCATCGTTTATTTTCAATCTTGGTGGCACGCTATGGGAGCAGTATGGTGCAGTTAGTCTCTGGGGTTTAAGGTTTAGGAAATTGATGGGAAGGGATGGAAGATGGGAAATGGAAATCTAACGAACCAAATCCCAAGAGAGGAGCTTGCGTATGATCAGTGCCTACTGGCGCACTTACCTGAATGGGGGTCCTTTATACAGCAAAGCTGCTCACCTGAAAGCTGCAGCAATGAACATTTTCTGACATAGATCGGACACTTCGTGCGCGTTTTCCTTCATAGTTAAGAAGATCCCCGTCCAATTCTTCTTCTACGACTTCTGTGTATGCGACTTTTGAAGTGGGTGATTTTCCAGGTTCAACAATTATCTTGTATTGGAAAATGGTACAAGGAACTTCTCAGCTTGCCAAAAATGTGATTTGCTGAAATTGCGCGAAAGCTGTTTGTTGTTTTGCAGCACTGAAGCGTTGTGTAACTCCATACAACGTACGACACGCTCACTGAAGCGAAAAGTTATTCTACCAGACCATCCCTCTCTCCCACCACCTCCGCTGTATAATCGTACAATTTGAGCCGCTATAGCTTAGACGGTTGAAGCTAAATTGAGCTCTCTTACATCGACGGTTGCACCGAAATGGTTTTAAAGCTTCCACCATTACACATTTTTTGTCATGCTTCAGACAAGGAGCCTTATGTTTTGCCCTCATTCGCTCTGTTTGTAACTCCATACAACGTACGACACGCTCACTGAAGCGAAAAGTTATTCTACCAGACCATCCCTCTCTCCCACCACCTCCGCTGTATAATCGTACAATTTGAGCCGCTATAGCTTAGACGGTTGAAGCTAAATTGAGCTCTCTTACATCGACGGTTGCACCGAAATGGTTTTAAAGCTTCCACCATTACACATTTTTTGTCATGCTTCAGACAAGGAGCCTTATGTTTTGCCCTCATTCGCTCTGTTTTTTGCCCGCTACCTTCAAATCCCAACGATTCGAACTTGCTCGAGGTTCTTTCCCAAAACTTATAGTAATTGCGCTTCCATGCCTGCGCCGGTTTAGTAATGACCACGCTTATATCAGATAATGCCCACCACCCATGATGCTGTCTCTTTCCCCCCCCCCCCCCCCCCCCCCCCTGCCATACTTTTATTATGGCTGTAACATTATGACCACACCCGGTGGTATGCCACCCAAAATTTGATTATAAACATTATTATTTGCTGAAGGCGCACCTCTGCGGTTAAATTCACCCTGGTATCTCCCGCCCGAGTAGATGGGACCTGAAGCATGTATTCCCGTAACTCTGGAAGTTTTATTCCGAGCAATCATCGTGATAAAACACTAATTCACTTCTGAAAATCATGCGGAGTTTGAAGAACGTAATTATTTTCGTATATAAATTGTAATCACCGTAGTTCATTGAGTGAATGAAAGGCGCAAGCGTTGTCATACATCATATAATTTCTGTTGAAAACTTGATATCGCCCTGAAGGCATTCACATCATGTTTACTGGAAGCGGGCACTCCACTACGTATGGCAAAGAACAGCAGGTTCTTGTAGTCCACCTCGGAAATTGGCCAGATTGTTCGTGAGCTAGTAGTGGCAATGCCAACCATTGTACTCCACCATTAACCAAGGAGAAGCTTGAAAGTCTAAGTGGGAATTGTTCGGCGAGTCCCTCACTACTTTTATAACACAGCAACGATGACCCTACTGATGTACGCACACATACACAACTTGTTGAGTCATAGGGGCTCCTCGGCTGCACAATACTCTTAGCTGCAAAACTCTTAGCTGCGAGTGGAATCAAACATTTTACGCCCAAATGTTGCGCCCGTGAGCGAACCAAATATTCCCCAAACCTATGCTTACGTTTTCGTAACTCACCGAATTTCATTACCGGCTTCCGCGAACGCGTCTGGTGGAAAAAATTCTGGTGAGTAATTACCTAACATCACTGGGACCCAAGGATGCCTCAAAAGTCCGGACTGGTATTTTGAACTCCATTGCCTGTCCGTTTTAGTCCACCAGGGACCCGAGGTAGCTTTCGAAAAGTGAATTCCACTGTGTAAATACTGAGTGCCTGAGTCATATCGGAGGAACCGTGAAGTTGGATACACTCTAAAATCTGATTAAAACAAATTCCAACCAGTGTAATTTAGGATAAGCTGGTTCTCGGTTTGGGCATATATACGGATAAATACAATATTCACGGATTCACGGATTGATACACGGGATCGAGGCTTTTGCCCAAGTTTCCCGGGTCGGTTTTGTTCTTGTCGGTCAGTGGCTGTCGTTCACCTGAAAGGTACAAGTGAAAAAAGGGTGTAGCACTGCTCTTTATGTTTTCAGCGCGGGGCAATATGCTCACCAGCGCGAGGATTCGCATAAATAAATGTCTAATAGTGCTTTAAATTGGGTTCGAGAAGGAGCGTGTACAACCGTCGGAAGAAGGTCATTCCACGCAGCTACTACCCGAAATGAAAAAAGTTTTGTCTAATGAATGTGTGTGCCCTGAGCTTGAAGATTTTCTTACTATGTCCCCGCCGGGTGTTTGCTGGGTCAACGGTAAAAAACCTGTTTGCCAAGCTTTGTTCAAACAGGGCGTAAGTAAGAATTAGGTCCCCTCGGAGGCGACGGTACTCCAGGGGAAAGAGATCAAGCGTCGCGAGACGCGTTTCGTAGTCCACGGACTTGAGGCCGGCAACCATTCTCGTGGCGGCCCGCTGGACACGCTCAATGAGGGTAACGTCTTTCGTACGTCCTGAGTAGACAACTTGGTTGGCGTACTCCAGGAGCGGTCTGACGTAGGCCCCATAGAGTATTTGGAAGTCCATGCGAGTAATACGGGAGAAGGTACGTCGGATCATCCGTAAAACGGCGAATGCCTTTTGGGCCGATTTCTCATGGTGTAGTGCGAAGGACAAGTTTGAGGAAACCCAGATGCCTAAATCTTTTTTGGCATCTATCCTCATGATGTTTTCTGGTCCCTTTTCACCATGCATAACAAAGGCATTCGCTGAATCCCCTCCAAACGACACATGGACGCACTTTCATAATTCAGAGGAAGGTGCCAGTCCAACGACCACTGCTTGGCAGCGTCTACATCCATTTGGAGGGCGCTGGCATTGGAACTCCAGGATTTCAAGTCGTCCGCAAAAAGTAAACATGGACTCGCAAGAACGTCTGGGAGGTCGTTGACGTAGATCAGAAACAGGAGTGGTCCCAAGACGGAGCCTTGAGGAACTCCAATGGAGACCGGCGCTGGAGAGGAATAGGTTGAGCCTATTCTCACTCGGAATGACCTGTCTGATAGGAACGCCTTGATCCAGCGAAGGATTTTCCCTTGAATCCCGTAAGACTCGAGTTTGTGGAGCAGCGGGACGTGTGGGACCCTATCAAATGCTTTTGAGAAGTCGAAAAATATGGCATCCGATATGAGTCCTTCGTCCTTGGCTTGGGTTAAGCTGTCCATAAACACGAGCATGTTTGTCACGCAAGAACGGTTTGGGAGAAATCCGTGTTGAGCTGGAGATATCAGATTGCTGGAAGTAGGGTGATCTAGGATGGCTCGCTTCAGAATGCGTTCCATTCAAACGTAAATAATCTTTCGAAACGCAATGGCTTTAGAGAAACTTGCAAATGGCAGATGGAAAGAGGTGGATTTGAAAACTTGTGACATTCCACGCGTGAAGGGCGAGCAAGCTAGATTCAACGCGTGTCCAATTCTAATTGGGTGAAAATTTCAGCGAATGGAAGATCAGTTTTCAAGTGCATGACAATCCGTAGAAAGATAACAGCTCTTTACCCTACTTTAAAGTATCGTATAGCAATATTGCTTTGTGGGTAACTGAGGAACATATATAGGTACCTTAAGAAAAGGCGTGTAGGAGGAACCATTAAAATGGATCGCACCGTGTTGCGTGGCCTTCATATTCATTTATCAAGGTCATATGGGCGATTCCCACCATTAAAGTATGGTCGCCGGCGCGGACCTTTTTGATGCGCACCATGCGTATCTCTTGGGTAATTTTCAGCACGCTTTAAGGATCCTTCAGAAAATAAAGGTAAAATCTAGTTGGAGGTACTTTATCATTCTCCAGGACAAGGAATTGCAGTTAAAGGTCGACGTACTCACGTACCGCGTTTACCTAGCTCAGAAAAAGTACGGTGTTGTGTTAGATGAAATACGGGAGGATTCGGAACATATTGAGCTCCGGTTCATTCGCCTTCTAGCCTCTTTCTTCACATCCACAAACGCAAAGTGAGAAAGTGCTTTTGAGAACGATAATCCAAACAGAGAACGGGTTTTACGAGAAGCAGAAAAGCTTTTGACGGGAACTTTAGGCGAGGACGCAGAATTAGTTCTAGTCCTGGCCGCCACTCTGTATCTCAATGCAGACGTAAGTCTCCTTCATTGGTGGTGTCAATCTTCTTTAGCTGCCTGAGCTGGCTTTGAAGACACTTCATCCAGGCGAGGGTGTCTATTGGTGAGTCCCACGTTTTTCTCAGCCCTCGATCGACACAATTTCCCAGTTATCCTTTAATGTTTGAAATTTCGCTTGGTTTCGTTGCTTCCAGAGTACTCTTACTTTGGTCATAGCCAATTTATAACAGTTGGGCGAGATGGCTCAAGTGGTTAGAGCGCGAATTTACTGACCGGAAGGTTCGTGGTTCGAACCCGACCTCTGACTCGACTTCCCGTGCATAGGCTTGGGCAACCTGGCAGTATCCCAGCCCTCGTGCCTTCGTGTGGCATGGTAGCTAGGCACCGAAAGGGTGTTGCAGCTGAATGATTATTATTAAATTATACTCCGTTTAGCGCGAGTACAGATGTTTCTACAAAATGTCTGCGCCGAATCCCTGCAGTTGCGCACCCGAATGCCGACTTGGTGCGGAAATAAGACGAACTCCGCACCTAGTCTGCATTCGACTAGGTTGGCCGAATCGCAAATTTGGCCCATTGAATGCACCACGACGCTTTATGTACATAAAAATTGCGGTACGTAACGCACTGTATTGTATTACAAAGCACTACAACCCATAGTGAGATTTTCGAGTTTCCTTACCAGCGACTTGTCATGTTGTACTGACCAGACTACCCATAGATGCTTCCACAACAGACTGCTCGCATGGGTATTGAAAAAGTGGTTTTACGTTTGTATGCAGGACAGGAGATTCCATATAATATATTGGTTGACCTGCAGCCGTTTTAGCACGTTCATCCTCTATACAGTGATGTTCGGTTTCTTTCGGACTTTGGATGTTTGTCACTGAAAACCTTTACACTGATGAGTTTGCAGTGAAAAAAAACTGAATTACATTACCCTTGAAGGTTCAATCATCATCATAGTCATCACCGAAACCATGACATCAGTGATCGACACTGATGCTCCGCTGCAGCACTATCATGACTGATTTGGAAGGCTTGTTTTGGACAAAAAAGAGGCGACGACGGGGGAGGGACTAAGTTCTAGCCTACCACAGTCATTTGGAGAGGCTCACTTCCAGACACTCATTCAGGTAATCTGGATAGAAACCGCCAACAGGAACGCCATTGACATCCATCGACAACTATATCTTGCAGCATCTCCAATCAGATGTTGTGAGAATCACTCGGTTCCTATCCTGAAAGGCGAGTTGCACCGATCGTACTCAGACTTTTCGTAATCTTTTCCATACTCCTCTGCCAGGTCTAGGGTTGGTCACCGCTTTGCTTCCGCCACTCTGAATCGGGCACGGAAAACACTCGGCAAACGGTGGTTGGATATGCGCGATACATGACCTAACCAACCCAGCTTCCGGCGCTAAACACACTCTTCGATGTAAGTTCCCGTGGCACAACCGAACACTCGCTTCCCCATTGCTCGTCACGAGTCCTCCGACACCAGTCCCCACGAGCTATGGTTCTGAGACAACGGATGTTGAAGACCGAAAGGCCTCTCGGTCCCGCTGCTGGAACAGGCCAACCTTCACATCCATACAAAAAAACAGCCCGTACTGTAGCCTGATACACACGCCTTTTGGGAATCAAGGATATACAGCTTTGACGCCGTAGTGGTCTCAAATTAACAAACGCGACCTGAGCCCTGCAGATTCGTTCATTTGCCTCACCTCTCACACTATTATCAAAACTAATGCAACTCCCAAGATATGCAAAATGCTCCATAACTTCGAGTACCTCTCCCTGGATTGTAAGTGGCGTGTTCAGTGACTGCATTTCCACGAGAATGACCTTACGATTTATGGGTGCATACTTCATACCAAAGGACGGGATGGCTTTAGTCAGTTCATCGGAAAACACCTGTGCCTCCTCTTCCAAGATGAGGACAATGTCGTCTCGGCAGTTTTCGTCAGCTGCTACTTAAACACCAGGGTCTCGAAGACCTTCCAGCATTCGTGTATTTCATCGATCAGGAAATTAAGTTGGGATGGAGGAAGTGGGAACTCCTAACGGACAGTGCTTTGCTTTTGGATAGTTTCCTATGGTCTCCACAGATGTATTAGTTAGATTTGTCAGTTACACCGGAATCGAGAACACGAACGATTGTGAGGAAGTCGTACTGGCATGGTACCGTGGTATGGTTTTAGATGACAGAATGTAAAATGAAAGGTTAAAATGAAGAAAATAATGTTTTAGTCTTCAAGATAAATTGTTAGCTAAATAGATTTATTCGTCTGGAGGCAGTCATCATCATCATCATCAATGACAGC